GCGGAGGCGGCGGAGGCGGAGGCGGAGGCGGAGGCGGAGGCGGAGGCGGAGGCGGAGGCGGAGGCGGAGGCGGAGGCGGAGGCGGAGGCGGAGGCGGAGGCGGAGGCGGAGGCGGAGGCGGAGGCGGAGGCGGAGGCGGAGGCGGAGGCGGAGGTGGAGGCGGAGGCGGAGGCGGAGGCGGAGGCGGAGGAGCAGGCGCAGGCGCAGGCGCAGGCGGAGGAGGAGAAGGAGGAGGGCGGAGGAGGAGGAGGAGGAGGAGGGGGAGGAGGAGGAGGAGGAGGAGGAGGAGGAGGAGGAGGAGGAGGAGGAGGAGGAGGAGGAGGAGGAGGAGGGGACGTAAGAAGCTCTTCACACCCAGGCTCCCCAGCGCGAAGGTGACGTAACAAGTTCGTCACACCAAGGCTCCCAAGAGCGAGCGGCACCGTAAACATCTCTGAACACCGGGCTCCCAACAGAGAGTGGTGACGTAACAAGCTCTTCCCACCAAGGCTCCCAAGAGCGAACGGTGACGTGACAAAAACGTGCACACCAAGGCTCCCAAGAGCGAACGGTGACGTACACAAGTCTCAACACCAAGGTTCCCAAGAGCGAGCGGCAACGCAACAGTCTCGGGCAGGTTGCTGCAGCGCTCTTTCCGTTTTCGTGCCGGCCCAGGTCGACGTCACCCCAACATACTAATGTCTAATGGCCTTCTGCGCATCCCCTACCGTTTTTGGGTTGAGGGTCAGAGTCCTTAGGGATGCTTCTTGGGGTCTCTTCGGAGCGCCCTCTGGGGCTTCTCGGGAGCAGTTTAGGGGGCCTCTCGGCATTATCTTGGGGGCCTCTCGCGAGCCTCTTGGGGGCCTCCTAGGGCTTCCCGGTGACCTCTTGGGGGCCTCTTGGGGCCTCGGCCTCTTGGGACCGAGGGCTCGAAATGTCTGTTCGGATCCCCCTTCGGGGCCCCGTCTTGGAGCCGCCTTCGGGGCCTCTTCGGCTGTCCAGGAGGCCGTCTTGGGGCCGTCTTGGGGCCCTCTTGGGCAGTTTTTGGGCCCTCCTGGAAGCCTCTGAGGCTGTCTTGGGGCGATCTTGGGGGCCTCTTACGCCGCATTGGGAACCCGAAAAGGCGAGAACGCCAAGATCTTTCAAACACCTTCGGGGAACTCGCTGATTTTTGCCTCTTGGGGCCCTCTTGGGGCCCTCTTGGGAGGCCTCTTGGAGGCCTCTTGGGGCGTCTTGGGGGCATCTTGGGCCGTCTCGAGACCGTGTTGGGCGTCTTGGAGCGGTCTTTCGCTTGAAGCGAACGCGATCATGCTGCAATCAGAGATCGTCTTGCAGCCCCACGTATGCCTGCGCGCACCAGTACTGCGTACCCCTTCGGACCTGTGCAACCGACAAGGTCATTTTACTTGGGGAGAGGGGGGAGGCGGGCTCGACAACCCAGGTTATCGCCAGACCGTAAAGAACATCCTCTACTGTCTCTCGGTGTTTGGGTGCGTAATTTAAACTGGAGGGACCTCGAGCCCTGTTTGTATGCCTTTTGGGGCACACTTGCGATCACCCCTGGAGGCCAGCAGGCAAAAAATGATGGGGGGGGCACCCGAACAGTAACGCCTCCGGGTTGGAGACAGAGGCATCGGTCGACTCTTTGGATGCCTTCTGGGGGCCCTCGGGGCCGAGAGGATGAGGAGGAAAAGGAGGAGGAGGAGGAGAAGGAGGAGCAGGAGGTGTTGTTGGAGGAGGAGGAGGAGGAGGAAGAGGGCGGAGGAGGAGGAGGAGGAGCAGGGGGCGGAGGAGGAGGAGGGGAGGAGGAGGAGGGGAGGAGGGCGGAGGAGAGGAGGAGGAGGAGAGGGATGTTTTGTTTGCCAGCTTTTCCTTACCGTCCTGACGCTGCAAACTGTGTGGATTGAAGGCCGATCAGCGCACGAAGGAGGAGGAGGAAGGAGGAGGAGGAGGAAGGAGGAGGAGAGGAGGAGGAGGAGGAGGGAGGAGGAGGAGGGGAGGGGAGGAGAGGAGGAGGAGGAGGAGGAGGAGGAGGAGGAGGAGGAGGAGGAGGAGGAGGAGGAGGAGGAGGAGGATGAGGAGATGAGGAGGAGGAGGAGGAGGAGGAGGAGGTGGGGGGGTGGCAAGAAGGGGCAGGAGGAGGAGGAAGAGGAGGAGGACACGAAGGAGCAGGACGAGGAAGATTCAGGGGCTGGGGGAGGAAAGGTGGCCTTCGTCGCCCATGTTTGCCGAACGAACGCAAAAAGTGATCCAGACATCCGATGCGTTGATTTCTTGCATCTGGTTGTGGGGCCAGCCTGGTGCCGAGGAGCGCCGGAGAGCGAAACCTAGGGTCAGACGAGCGAAGGGGGGATTTCCGGGACTTCTTCTCTTCCGTTCCTGATCACTCGCTCCCTCCTCCTCCGCGCTGGTGTTGCTTTGTGGGCCCCCTGGTCATCCGTCGCGGGCGCGCAGTTCCAGGGGCCCCTTATATCTCCCATCGTCCCTTGTGCCCCATCGCAGACGGAGAGTTCCAGGGGTTCCCTCTTGGGCGTGTGCCTCCCCATCTTCCGTCGTGGGCGCCATGGTGAGGTGGTGCTGCGGGGGGGCTCGAGGGTTGACTGAGCTTCGAAAGTAGTCCACAGTCGGCATCACCCCAACATATACTAATACTATGTGTGCGTCGCCCCCCCAGGGGCGACGCGCACACACCGAGAAATCTTATAGTAGATGCGTCGTGGCGGGTGCTTTCTGGCCATACCGCTCGGGAAACGATATACAACAAGGTGGGTGTACTGTATGTTCGGGTCGGACGCGCACCTCCAAGGAGGGCACATGGTATTAGCATGTCTTTGTGCGTCCCACACCATGGAGCAGGAGGAGGAGGAGGAGGAGGAGGAGGAGGAGGAGGAGGAGGAGGAGGAGGAGGAGGAATAGGGCGGAGGAGGGGGAGGAGGAGGAGGAGGAGGAGGAGGAGGAGGAGGAGGAGGAGGAGGATCCCCAGAGAGCTACCTGACGACAGCTTCGCGCAGCTGTCTTGCTTGGACGTGCAGGGAGGGTCGGGGACCACTGCGTACCACTGAGCCCGCACGGCGGGCGCCACGGCGGCCGCCCCCCCCCTCGGGAGACCAGGTCGCACACGTGGCACTCTGGCATGCCGCGGTGCCGCCAGGGGGGAGGAACGAACAAACGACATAAACATAAAAGCTCGGAGGTCCGCGCGGGTTTCTCGGATCGGCGTTGGGCGCTCCTCCCTGGCGCGCCGAGCGCGCCAGGGGCGGCGCCGGAGGCGCCGCCAGGTGGGCTCGAGCGTCGCTCCGAGAAACCCGCGTGGACCTCCGAGTTTTTTATCTTATGTCGTTGTTTGCTCCCCATAGAGAAGGAGAGGAAGGCTTCTCGATGGCTGGCTTCTCGGTGCCCCCTGGGGGGGGGGGACGCCTCTCTCGGCCCACGCTCTTCGGGCTCTGCGACGTCCTCCTCCGCCTCCCGTTTCACGCTTCCTCCGCCGCGCGTCGTGGTGACAAGCTCGGGGGGTGCAGGCTTGCTTCTGGTTTGCAGAAGTACCAATGAGCCCTCGTGAGGGCGATCGCAAACGTGGACCAATATGACTTGGATTTACGACGGATCCCGTTTCCACGGGAAACCGCGGATTTCCGCCGCCGAGCGAGGCGGCACCGGCCGCATTTTGGGGAGGGCAACTCCCCCGATCCATTGATTTGGCGACCGCGCGTCAAATCCATGGATCGCTAATCCATGTTTGCGCCCCTCCGATTCTGGCTTGCGGAAGTACCGAGGGGGCCCTCTTGAGAGCCTCTTCTCGAGACCGCCCACGTGGCGACTTGCAGCGGCTGCCGAAGGCAACCAGCGGTAGCCTGCGTGTTGTCCCTGCTCACGCGCCGTCTGGTGCGAGGCACTCGCCCCAGACACCCGACGTCTTGCGGTTTTTCACCGCCCACCAACCACCCCAACCCAACCCGAAGGTCCCGATTTGCCCTCCATTCCCATTGGCGGGGGGGGTCGGGGAACATTGAACAAAAAATATGAAGCCCGTGCCCCCCTCTCCAACCCGAAATTCGGGTCTTCGGGTTGGGTTGGGGTGGTCTGGTAGGTAGTCAGTTTTCCATTCGGCTCCCCTGCAGGTCCCGACCCTGTCCTCTTGGCCCGCTTCTCGTCCCGAGCTGCTCTCTGCCGGTTCCCGGGGGCCCAGCGAGGGCTCCTAGAGGCGGACCCCCCCCCGCCGTGCTCTCTCACCACTCGTAGGCGAATATAGGTCCGCATCCGCGGCCTTGCGGGCTGGGCCCCTGGGCCGCGACCCCGCGGACGGGGGGCGTTTTCTCGTGGATGCCCCGCGCGGAGCGCATCTGTACGACCGCGTATCCGCGAGATCGCGCCTGGTTATCCAGACCGCAAGGGCGCCGATATGGATATGTTCTAGGCCTCCCAGATGGGGTCCGAGTGGATGGGGTCGGAGGATTGCGCCGCATCGCCGATGCATGGGCGACGTCGGCGTGGAGGGAGTCGGGCTCCACATTGAGCCGCATCGCCGATGCATTGGCGATGCATCGGCGATGCGGCGCGGTCCTCCGACCCCGTCCACTCGGACCCCATCTGGGAGGCCTTGATCTGTTCGCCGCTCGTGAACCACGCTCGCTGTTGCCGACGCCGACGGCCAGGGGCTCCCCGCGTGCGTCACTGCCGTGCCGGTGGAGCACGCTGCCGACGAGGAGCGCCGCTCCGCCGCGCGGTGCTGGTGCCAGCCGCGCGGGCGGCTTGCGATCAACTCGGGGCAATCTAGCCAGACGATCAACGCACTAAGGCGACGAGAACAGTACACATCGAAGACCCAGAGGACGTGTGTTAGCCCAACGTGTGTGTGTGTGTGTGTTTACCCCGTTCGGCCCGTGTCGTCGGCCACGCGCAGGCGGGGGTAGGGGAACGGGGGAAGGCTTCCTAGAAGCACCCCTGCTTCCCAGAAGGTGCGGGCCTTCTCTATAGATGTAAGGCCAGTGCCTTCTAGGAAGCAGGCTCCTTCTAAGAAGCCTTCACCCCTTCCCCTACCCTCTCGTGCGCGCCTCTAATGTCGGCCATCGCTGCACCACGTTCGTTGCGTTGAAGGGCTTCGGTGGGCCAGCAGACGTTGGCGCTGACACACTGCCCCAGGCCTTGCCCCTTCTGGGCCCAGGAGCGGTGTATACGCCGTCCTGGCTTGGCCAGGGAGGCATTTACCGCCCCTGGGCCCAGGATGTGCCTGGCCTTCTGCAGAGGATATGTATACATCTCGTCGACCTGCGCACGTCGATGCAGTTTTTTGCCAGCGTGTCTGAGGGATCGACACCGTTAGCAGTGCCTGTCCATCTTGAGCACGATTCGCAGTCGGTGTTACCGCGGACGTCGTCAGTTTGAGACAGGGTGTCGTGTTCCGAACTGCGGCCGCTGTCCGTTCTGGTCAACATTTGCTGTTGGGAACCGTACCGATGCTTTCTGGACCAATCTATGGCGTTTGAAGTGTCGGGCTCGCATTTCTCCCCTTGCGGGACTCTTCTGACCCACCCTGACTACAGTGGGGGCCCAGGCCAAGAAACACCCTGCTTGCCTCCAGGCGTGACGTTCCCACACCAAAAATCAGTGGGCGTCCTGGGATCTCAGGGTTGGGTTTCTTGTGGAAGGTTTCCTGTGGACCTGGCCTCCACAAGTACTGGTGTGGGAGCACTACCCCAGCACGCACGCATGGAGCCAAGGCGTCGTGCCGCCGCCGGCGCTCCAGGCCTCGGGCGGTGGGCAAGGGCGATCTCTCGCAGTCGGCGCGCGGTTCTGGGACGCTTCCGTGGGCTCGGTTCTTGTCGATGATCCTGAGGACGCGTGTAAGCTTAAGTCGGGCCTGTGCCCCTACATGAGGGTTTTCGACGAAACATAAAAAAAATACCCGCAAAAGTCTGGGGACTATGTTTTGAGTATGTTCTGACCTTTTTGGGGCATTTTGGGGGTATTTTTTATTTTTCGTTGAAAATCCCCCTGTAGGGGGACACGCCCGACATAACTGTAAGCCCAATGTGTGTTTTCCCCCTTCAGCCCAACCAGAAGATCATTGCATCGCCTGCGTCGTATCGAAGGGCCCCGATGGACAGACACACGTTGGGGCTAACACCGGTTCTGAGGATCATCGATCTTGGAGGTTTTCCGGTCTCTGGATGCGAAGAACAGAAAACGGCAAACACATAATTTTTCGGCGCTCCGCGCGGATTTCTTGGATCTGCGCGGGGCCCTCCTGGCGGCGCCTCTGGCGCCGCCCCTGGCGCGCTCCCCGGGCCAGGGAGGGGGGTGCAGCGCAGATCCGAGAGATCCGCGCGGAGCGCCGAAAGTGCGTGTTTATGCAGTTTTCTGTTCCTCTATGGATGCTCTCCTGCAGCTGCGCCTCGCCGAGAGCGTCCGAGGAGGGGCCCAGAGCGCCCCGAGCGCCCGAATCTTTGGGAGTCGCTGCGCTCAGAACTGGCCGCTTAGAGCAGAGGGGGAGCTCTGGGATACACCATAATGATGGCTCTTCGGACGCACCCCTATCGAAGATGGACGCAGCCAGTTGTGGAACTGAGGGCAGGTTCAACCAGAAGATTGATTCGATCCCCCAAAGGGTAAGCAGGAGGTCAAGGATGATGATGCTGATGATGATGATGATGATGATGATGATGACGATGGTGATGCTGATGATACTGATGATGATGCTGGTATGATGATGATACTGATGATGCTGCTGATGATGATGCTGATGCTGCTGATGATAATGATGCTGATTCTGCTGATGATGCTGATGATGATGCTGATGATGAAGATGCTGTTGCTGCTGCTGATGATGATGATGCTAGTGCTGATGCTGATACTGATGCTGATGCTGATGATGCTGATGATGCTGCTGATAATGATGATGCTGCTGCTGATGATGATGCTGGTGATGGTGATGATGATGGTGATGATGGTGATGAGGATGATGCTGCTGATTCTGGTGATGGTGATGATGATGGTGATGATGCTGATGATGATGGTGATGATGATGATGCTGATGCTGCTGCTGCTGATGATGATGATGATGATGATGGTGATGCTGCTGATGATGATGATGATGATGCTAATGCTGATGCTGCGGATGATGCTGCTGCTGCCGATGATGGTGATGTTGATGCTGAGAATGAGGATTATGCTGATGCTGATGCTGATGCTGATGCTACTGCCGCTGCTGCGGCGGCGGAGGTGGATGATGATGATGATGATGCTGATGATGATGATGGTGGTGATGATGATGATGATGATGGTGCTGGTGGTGATGCTGATGATGATGATGCCGATGATGATGATGCTGATGATGATGATGATGATGATGATGATGATCATGCTGATGCTGATGTTGATGATGATGTTGATGATGATGATTATGATGATGCTGCTGCTGCTGATGATGATGATGATGAAACTGATGCTGATGATGCTGATGATGCTGATGATGCTGATGACGATGATCATGATGCTGATGTTGCTGATAATGATGATGCCGATGATGATGATGATGATGATGATGTGACTGTGATGCTGATGATGATGCTGATGATGATGATGATGATGATGATGATGATGATGATGATGATGAGGAGGAGGATGATGAGGAGGAGGAGGAGGAGGAGGAGGAGGAAGAGTCTCACCGTCGTCGTGCCATCCCTGCGGCTGAGCCCGCCTCGAATGGCACAGGGTTGTCACGAGCGGATCCGCAGGAGCCCTCGAGGCGCATGGCTTACTTCTTCGGGCACATCGACTGGATCGACAACCCGCGGCTCTACGAGCGCGTGGTCGTGGGGCGGGGGGCCGAACTCGGAGGATGGAGTTGTATCCTCTTCTCTCCCGCTCCTTCCTCCCTCCTGCAGCCCCCTCCCTTCTCCCTCCTCCCTGCCCCCGTTCTCCCTCACTCCCTGCTCCCGCCTCCCTCGTCTCTCCCCTCCCTCCCTCTCTCCTTCTCGCCCCTCTCTCGTCCCTTCTGCCTTCTCGCTCCCTCCTCCCTTTTGCCCATCCCTCTCCCTCCTCCTCCCACTTCCCCTCCTCCTCCTCCTCCTCCTTCTTCTCCCTCTCCTTCTCCCCCCTCCCTGCTCCTTCCTGCCTCCTCCCTCTTCTCTCCTCCTCCCTCCCTTCCTCTGGCCCTTGGGAAGAAGAGCTGGTCCCTGGGAAGCGATCCAGACCTTTCCGGAGCCGCGCTGTTAACAAGAATCACGACGTCGGACCCAGATCTCCGACGTCGTGATTTGTTGACAACTTGGTTCCCCAGAGATCTGGACCCCTTCCCGGGGACTGGCTTTTCGTCCAGAGTAGTTTTCTCACGGTCCAGTCCCGGTAAGGGCCCCCAGAGGCCGAACATTGGCAAGAACCCACCGTCGTTGTGCTTTCCACGACTCGAGGAAGTTAGGGGGTGCTTCGGTCCTCCCGCTGGTCTGTCTCGCCCCAGGTGTCTCACCTTAGCAAGGTGGTGCTGGCGAAGCTGAACCACAACACGTCGCCGGAGGTGCCTGCCGTCTTGGGTCGTCGGCACGTCAGCGGCAGTCATGCGAGGGGCAAGACGAGAATGAGGAGGGAGGGCAGCCAGAGGAGGAGAAGGAGGATAGGGAGGAGCAGGAGAACCCAGACACCCCACGTATTGTAACAAGTCAAATCCGAAGCCTATCCTGCTGCTGTGAGCCCTTACCAGGCCTGGAGGAGGTCAAACACTGGGTCGTGATGCAAAGCCCGCCCTGGGGAGGGGGTCTGTACCGTATTTAAAACACTAGGACATCGGATGTCTGGGTCGGAGGTGCTTCATCACGAGGTGCTTGAAAACACTAGGACCAGGGCAGTTCCCAGACCCCAGGCGTCATGATTTTTTCCAACGTCGACCCCCAGAGATCTCGACCCATACCCCAGGACCGTTTTTGTCACCCCGAGTCGTTTTGTGACCGTCCCTGTGCCCGCGGAGGGCCAGGTTGTCTAGGTTTCGATGGTAGCCTCTGCTGACTCTCCACCTTCCACACCTTGCGACCAGCAGGTGGCTGATTTAGCGATCCTCTCGAGGGTCAGCAAAGTGAATAAACATGCACTTTCGGAGCTCCGCGCGGACTTCCTGGATCGGCGCTGGATCCCCCCTGGCGGCGCCTCCGTCGCCAGAAGGTTTTTTTTTTTTTTTTTTTTTCTCTCTCCATTATTTTGCCGATCGGTGCGGGCCCTCGACCCCCTCCCTCCCCCCCCCTATGGAGTAGATATTGGTTGTTTTTGGCGCCTGTTTCGAGCAGGTGGAGCCTCTCCCATTTGACGCCCTGTCGAACATAGCCGCGCTAAGCAGAGGTCTGGAGCCAGACGCCCCCCCCCCTTCTGCCCGATGTCGAAACGCCGAATGAGAAAACGCTCACGAGGCGGAGGGCCCGGGCCGTGCGCCGCCAGAATCCGCCTTTGCGCGCCGTGCCTTCCGCGCGCCCACCGTGTTGCAGGGCGCCCGGACGGCGTCCTCCGGCCTCGTGGTCAACGCGCCTTCCCAGCCCACGTCGGAGCCGCGCGCCGCCACCGGGCGGGCAGGGCTGGCGGCGGGACGGGCGGGGGACCCTCCCTGAGCTCAGGGGCAAGGCTGAGAGGGGGGGGTCATCGAAGAAGAAGGAACGGCATGAACGTAAGCTTTTGCGGCTCCGCGCGGGTTTCTTGGATCCGCGCTGGGCCCCCCCGGCTGCGCCTCCGACGCCGACCCTGGAGCGCCAAAAGTTTATGTGAGTGCCGTTTTTTTGTGATTTTTTGTTTTTGTGTTTTCTTCCAGGACGGGCTCACGGGGGGAGTGCATCGACCCGCAATCGCCAATTCATCACCGGTAGGGGCCCGAGAGCCCCCACCTGCCCAGGAACGTGCGGATTCGCTATCGGGGGCCTATCGCCGATCTATCGGCGATGTATCGCCGACTACAGGTCGATGTTTCCTCCCTGTGCCAGCCCCCCTTCTCGTTGCCCCTGATGGGCCAGACATGCCCGCGATGTGAAGTAGTCAAGACGTGAGGTTTTTGGTTGTCTTGTGCCCCTGGGGCCCTCGCCAGGCACCACGCCGTCAAAGCGCGACTCGGGAGGATGAACTGGCCCTTGGGAAAGGCTCGGGGCTTCAGGGAGCCCGTGCGAAAAACATCAGGACGCCGCATGTCTGGGGAGATCCTCCACAATGGGCGCTCGTGTCAAGTCGGGCATGTCCCTTTACAGGCAGAATATTCAAAAATAGTCAAAACATGGTCTGGGGACGATTTTTCGAGTATTCTGAGCATTCTTTTTTTTTTTTTTTCGTCTAAATCCGCCTGTAGGGGGACATGCCCGACCGAACGTTCGTGCCCTGTTTCGGCGTGTCCCAGGACCATAACAGATCAGCCTGGCTCGAAAAGTGCCACGGAGAGATGCCCTTGAGGGCTCCCGTCGTGATTTTTCGCGACGCGGCGATTTTTTGCAACATAAGCTTTCGGAGGTCGGCGCGGATTTCTTGGATCTGTGCTGGACCCCTCTGGCGGCGCCTGGCGCGCTCCGCGCGCCAGGGAGTGCGGTCCAGTGGCGATTCAAGAAATCCACGCGGACCTCCGACAGTTTATGCTCATGCCGTTCAAGAAACGACTCGGGATGACGATCCCGTCTTCAGGAATGCCGTTCAGACCTTCCAGGAGCCACGCTGTGAAACAGTCACGGAGTGCCGGATACCCAGGCGAGCAGAACTCAGTAGAAGCAGACACACTTTTTCGGAGGTCAGGCGGATTGACTTGCTTCGGCGCTGGCGCCTCCCCATCCACACCCCAGCCGAGGGCGCCACCCCGGGCGCGCCGGCGGGGAGCCGGGGCCCAGCGCCGGCCCAAGAAATCCACGCGGACGTCCAACTTCTGATGTGTTGTGTCCTCTTGTTTTGGTTCTCGAGGCTTGTCTTCACTCTCGTCTTTCTAGTCCTTCCTCCTCCCGCTCGCTCGCCCAGAGATGCCCACAGCGGGCAAAGGAGGAGGAAGAGGATGAGGATGAGGATGAGGATGAGGATGAGGATGAGGATGAGGATGATGATGATGATGATGATGATGATGATGATGATGATGATGATGATGATGATGATGATGATGATGATGATGATGATGATGATGCTGATGCTGATGATGATGATGATGATGATGATGATGATGATGATGATGATGATGATGATGATGATGATGATTATGATGATGATGATGATGATGATGATGATGCCACGGCTGCTGCTGCTGCTGCTGCTGATGATGATGATGATGATGATGATGATGATGATGATGATGATGATGTTGATGCTGATGCTGATGCTGATGATGCTGGTGCTGATGCTGATACTGATGCTGATGCTGCTGCTGCTGATGATGATGCTGCTGCTGATGATGTTGATGGTGAGGACGACGATGATGACGGTGATGATGATGCTGATGATGATGCTGCTGCTCATGATGGCGGTGGTGATTGTGATGATGCTGATGCTGCTGATGATGATGACGATGCTGCTGCTGCTGCTGATTATGATGTCGCTGCTGCTGGTGATGATGATGATGATGATGATGATGATGATGCTAATGCTGATGATGAGGATGAGGATGCTGATGACGATGATACTGATGTTGATAACTATGATGATGCTGCTGCTGCTGATGATGATGATGATGCTGTTGATGATGATGATGATGATGATGGTGATGATGATGATGGTGATGCTGATGATGATGATGACGATGATGATGTGATGCTGATGATAATGATGATGATGCTGCTGCTGATGATGATGATGATGATGATGATGAGGAGGAGGAGGAGGAGGAGGAGGAGGAGGAGCAGGAGCAGGAGCAGGAGCAGCGGGAGCAGGAGCAGCGGGAGCAGGAGCAGGAGGAGGAGGAGCCCCTTCTCTTGATGGCCTCAGCTCATCCTTCTTCCTGGATTGGCCCGCGATTGAGGATGTAATCGCCGAGCAGCACGTAGCTCGTACACGTGCTCTTCTGTGCGGTGCCCAAAATAACGTGTGCCGTTTTCATTAACATTCTTCAACGTCTGGTTATTGCTACCGTTGTCCGTTGCTGTCAGCAGCCGCATTACCATCTGCAGTCGGGAGGTCTAGGGTACAGGGGCCCCCTTCCAGGGGTCGTTCGGGAATGGGTCGCAGCCGGCTCGCTGTCGCGCGTGCTCGAGCCTTGGTTTCGGGAGTTGGAACGTGGAGCACCACACCGATGGTCCCAGTTTCTTTCAGCTGGGCACTCGGGGAAGGGGTCGGTGTGAGATGGGCGGTGGTTCGTCCGGTATCGTGCAGGAGTGGATCTCCTTCCTCTCTCTCTTCTTCAGGTCCTCCCTCCGCCGTTCCGTTGTTCCCTGCTCTTCTCCGCTTGCCTGCTCTGTTTTCTCCCCCTGCCCATCGGCTCTTGGCCGGGGTGGATGGGGTTCGAGGGCACCTGTCACGCGTGACGACATTGCCAGCCTCTCGAAGTTCAGAGGGGGAGGAGGAGCAGGAGGAGGAAACGCATGGGCAGCAGCACC